ATAAACATTATGTCAGATTTTTCATATAAACGTCAACATCGCGATATCATACACAGTCACTTCTAAAATATACAACATTTGTACTTCACCCGCAACTTTTCCATAACGTCAATACACAAACAACATAATACATTGAATTAATGATACAATATAATATAAATACGACATAATATGGAATGAATATTACGTCCGTATTAGCTGATATCAACGTAAATGGTGCTCTGTTTCCGTTTATAAGTCACAATCAAGGAGATCTCCCTTGTGGCGTAAACACACTGAAATTGTATCTGGTTTAAAGCCCAAACAGGTATATTGTTTACACAGAAAAATTCTATGATTGTTTACTTCGTATTTACATATAAAATTGTGAGTTTTGGTGCTAGATTCTAGTTAAAAAGTGTATACTTTTCTAGAAATAGCTTTCATTACCTAGGTAATATTACCTAGGCAGGTAAGGAGCTATCAAGATGCACTTCTATTTTATTTTATTGATATTATGAAGTGTACGCTTGACCATCCTTTCTAAGAAGTTCTCTAAGATCCGAGAAGGTATAAGTTACATACACACATAAAATACATCTCATACGAACCAATTTTCTATGAACAAGAGGACTAAGATTTAATGTTAAATTTGGGCATAGCACATTCGTACTTTTTACCAATTGTCGATTTCAAGGGCAGATTGCTTTTTGACCACACACATTCCGTGGACTTACAAAACCATGACTACAAGTCAGCCATTAATTTAAAACGTGTAATATTATCACAGTTAGTTAGGGGGCGTCCATAAATTACGTGAGGTATTTTTTTAAATTTTCTGACCCTCCCTCCCCCCTTGGTGAGATGTCGTGAGATTTTATTCAACCCCCTCCCCCATCCCCCAATCTCACGTGAGATTTTTCGGAATGTGGGTTTCTTACATAAACGCGTTGGATTTTTATTGTGAAAAGAAAAAAACAATTTGATTCGTGCTTTTATTTAAGACTAGTTAAGACTAGTAATCATATTGCTGAGAGTAATAAATGTAATAAAAATTTAACAATAGAATACTTAAATCTAGCTACTGTGATTAAAAAAAAAAGAATATCTACTCTAATTCAGTCCATGGGGAATTATGCGCGGTCTCAAGAGAGACTATTGGAACCAACATGTCCATATGACCATTACATTGTACCGTAACTAAATTGAGCTATTTGGTATAAAATAAATCTGGTGGTTTGACATTCAGTAGATGTATAACGTCGAAATATGAATGAAATTATTTTCTTTCGAATGAATTAGTGTGTGTGTGTTAATCTTAATCGTATTACGATGACGCTTAAAATTAAATCTTAAGCATGTACATACAATTTGAATTAAATGGACCAAAATAGTATATTTTTTTTTTGTTTCAATCAGAAAAAAAAATTGCGTGATATTTATCGAGACCCCCCCTCTCCCCAGCGTGAGATTAGATGAGATTTGACTCGACCCCCTCCCCCCCTTAATCATCTCACGTAATTTATGGACGCCCCCTTATTATGTGACAAATCATTGATCAATCGGTTGAGTGACCCTGAATGAAGCCAAAACAGAATTAAAACCGCTTTGCAATAGTAATTACATGCAACCAACATGTTAACAGCGTTTAATATTCACAATCATCAGAATAACTCCGCTCCATTTCACATTCAACTATTTTAATTAATTATTTATGTGATACAGTTTCTATAAATGGCATTCGACTACGATTTTATTAAAATATTCAAAGATTTTATTACATTTGGGAAATATGGGAATGAGCGCGGCCGATTTTTAATTCAGATATCTTCTAATGAAATTCAATTACCTACCTTATTAACCGTTATAAGCAATGTTTACGTATTTTATTGTACATAAAGCAAAATTAATATAAATTACCAAGAACAATTACATTTAAACTTTTTGAGCCGCCTTTGTTTTCCAATAACGCCTATAATCATTTCTCCTAAGAAAATGACAATACTGCATGCGTACATGAAACCTATAAACATGAATGCTCCCAGTAAATTTTGAATACTTAGTGGCACTATAGTACTAGCCTCTTCAGAGCTTACAGTGTGAATTAACAACTCATTCATCCATTTGTCAATCAATCCGTTCTCGGTAACACTACGAATAATGTTATTAAATCTTTCTAACATCGGGAACCACCGGCGTGTCAGGATAGCAACACCGTACTTATACATATTATTGCTCTCCGGGAAACAGTAAATTAATGGCGCCCCTTTACCCAATTTCTGGTCTTGGTAGACGGCTTGACGTCTCGAAGAAACGACGGCAAAGTTTCTTTGCAAAGCTGCCCGTCTTACACCCTCCGAGAACGTAGTCGAATTGTACTTGCGATATAAATAAAACGAACTCGCGTTATTAGTCTCAAAATAAGACAGATAAATCTCTCTACCTCCCAGCGGAATTCCAGACTGTATAAGATCCGCCTCACTGCTTATCTGCTTTTCAAATCGCGGGTGCATTAGGAAACTTCTGAGAAACGATTCATATGATATCCCCATGTTTATACTGAAACAGAGCCAAGCGAAGATTAGTATTCTGAATGTGGGGCTCTTTGGCTCAAAGGTAGCTCCCCATCCCAGCAACATACTGAACGTCATCAGTAATGAGTTAGTCGGCCATTTTGTCGTGTTGCTATGCTCTCTGTAATAGAAGAAATGAAATACTAATCCCATTATAACAAGGCTTAGAAACGTGGCCACCCACGTACTCCATTGAAATATGATGACTAGATTATCCCAAGTAGGTGCTTGTTGAGCTTTCGGCAAACAAAATGTCATTTCGTCTTGTAAATAATTTACTGTAGGATGGAACCATTTTCGTAGTACCCTGGTTACTTCGACATTCCCTATCACCAGGTCAGCTGTCTCGTTCCTCAACACCTCAAAAGCACCAATGGCAGTTCCATTACGGTACACTACTCCCCAGTTTTCTAATATCTCCGATGTTCTTGTAATTAGTGTCATGTTTGTGAACTGACTTATGATTTTCACCAGATTTATTTCACCACCTTTTTGGAACTCGTAGGCATCGTCATAGGAAGTGTTAGTCAGTTTTCTTACCGCTGGCATAACGTATGGTTCAGCTACGACAGCGTAAGCTACTAGCGGGCACCCTCTCATATCCGAGGGAAACATGTCGTGTTGTTTCTCGAATTCGTATATTGTATTGTTTGTACATCTATCTAGAATGTACACGTTTTCACATTTTCCTCCGCAATTAGTGTCGCTATACGGTCTCCAAGTATAAGATATAACCACATCATTATACTCATCGTAAATGAATACGATTGTTTTAAACAACTTGTAATCTCGAAGCTCATTAATGAAGTCTATGGCTGTCTCCTCTGCGGTCTCATTATATTTCAGTTGATAAAACACTATGGCTTTTGCTAGAGGATTCCAAGTTGGTAATTTATTCAATTGTAGTATATTCCTCTCCAGTTCAGATTTCTCTTCCAAAATCAACATGTAATTTTTCGCTTTCTCAGGGAAATGGGAAGCGTTTGCATGCGGATAAAAAGAATCTTTTACCATAATAGAATATTTGATACCGCTGTGTATGGTTTGCAATAGTAGTCCTTGTGTCGTGGAGGTATAGGAGTTGATGTTGATTATCACGATGCTGCCACTTAGAGCTTTCTTTTCGACGAAATATTTAGCGGAGAGTTTTAAAACGCATTCAGCTGTTTTTGCCGTTTGTCCAGAATTTGCAGTTGTCATTAGGAGTGGGTTCTCACTCATGCTTGAAGTAAAGTGTATGAAAAATAAAACTGTACGAAGAAACGCGAACATCTTGGACGGCCGCTAATGTTCACGAAGGCTGCACTAATGCTTAACCGATTCATTTTGCGGTAAAAACTTTGAACTTTAGAGCTCAGAGATAGAAAACTGTGCACGCTTTGTGTTGCTCTTTTGTTTACATTTTTCTTACTCGATCGATAAGAATCGTGAAACCGTTTCTAACAACATTATTAACACATTAATAGCTTAGTACGTGGAGCAAGACTAATTGTTGTACTGTTTTTATTTCTATAACTATTTCTAGCTGTGACTTTGTTCATACTGTTTTGCAAATGATCAATTTTAAAGATGTAAAGTATACATTATTATGTTTTCAGCTTACTCACTTACTGGCTACTCGAGTCTGGTGGCCCAGCGCACCCTCTGCCGTGATCCACGCGTACTTTCCTCTATTCGTGGTCTCGGCGACGGCGGCGCGCACGACACTGTTGACACGCTAGATTCGCCCGCTGGTAGCTGCGGTGGTAGTGGTGCGAGACGCAAAACAGTGCTACATACTAGTCGAGTTCCTCGTCAAATAATTACGTGAGTAAGCCGAAAACATAATAATTTATTTAGTAGGTATGTCTCACGAAAGATATAATACAAATGTAAAGTATAGTTAAATCTTTTATAAACTACGTTTAAAAAACCGACTTCAACCCCCTCTTTTTTGATGTCGGTAAAATAATATATCTACTAAAACTTTCTCCTAAGTGTATAAAACACTTTTCTGAAAACCGCATCAAAATTAGTTCAGCCTATCGCGACATATTCGCGCACAAACATACATACACTTTTATCAAACTGAGAACCTCCTAGTTTTCCTTTTTGAAGTCGGTTAAAAATCAGATTCCTAATACATAGAACATAATACCCGTCAATTAATTATATGATGCATTAGTTATCTTTATTCTGGATATTCCAAATACTATGAAATTTGAACACATATGGCACAAAGGCTTACTTATAGCTAAGTGTTATAAACTTGCTAAATACTTAGTACTGAGTGCCTCTCATCTAAGTGCTAACTTAATAAATGCTTAAATATTAACAAACATCGTATGTCGGTTAACCCATTCCTCCCCACTGTCATATTTTTAGGACACTACTTTCAAAATTTTTTTTCATGTATTGGGTCTTATATTTTTATTATTTCTGATGAAATTCATATTTTTAAACTATTTTTCTAATAAAATATAATTTTTTTTGCTGTTAAAAAGTTTACGTAATTTTAATGTCATTTTTTGAAATTGATCATTTTTGCTGACTGAAGGAGAGCATTGAGTTCCAATTTTATATACCGTAAAAGAAAAATGTTACCTACTTCAAAGTATACAAGACTTATTCTTAGATCTCTATCAAATATAAAACAAATAAAAACAAAACCAAATTATAATTTGTGAACTTGTTATATACATTTAAAATAAGCCGTCCTATAAATATGACACCGGGAATCTGACTGTACAATTTGCCGCGTAAGCGTGTTCGATCCTGTCACGCTAAGTACAGGTTCAAACTAGTCAATTGTTTGTTTCTTGCGAATCTTGCTTGTATTTACATTAGTCTATTAGTCTACGCCGAACACGTTACATCTCGTCCCTCGAAACGATTGTGATTATTTATCGACCTAGAGTAAAAAGTGAATTATTTACGAGGTTGAGAAATTATTGGTAAGTAAAAATATTTTAGTTTTATTCTGTATCTAATTGTAAACAATATATCTGTCTGTATGATTATAAGTATACGTCTGGCTATATATTAATATATTCTATTTTTTGTTATTTATAGATCATGGATCCAGTGCAAAAGAAGTATAAAAACGCTTTGAAGGTGTCCGAAATTGTAGACTATCTTCAAGATATTGAAGATTTTAGTGATGAGGAGTTGAATGACATTGAAATTGCCATATTGCCGCCGGATGCGGTAGATGAAATGACTGACATAGAAGAAGGTCCTGACGACGATATGGGAGTTTTGCCAGTGTCTGATGTAGCTGGTCAAGTGGAATTTTCGTGCACGATCGATAGCGGCGCGGAAAATCATCCTACTCAAACCACATCTCGTACAAGCAGGACAGTCACTTGGCGTAAGTGTGAACCAGTATATTCTGAAATACAGCCGGAATCTAATACTGCTAAACAATGTTTAGAAAATATGATTACGCAGTTGGAAGGAAAGTCAGCGGTAGAAATATTCGAAAACTTGTTGTGTGACGGGATTCTAGAATATATTGTGCACGAAACTGTATCTTACGCCAAACACTATAAAAATGATTTGAACTTCAATCTAACTATAAATGAGTTAAAAGTCTTCATAGGAATTTTGTTTTTCTCTTCGTATCATCACTTGCCGCAAAGTAAACTTTATTGGTGTAGAGATGAAGATGTACATATTCCATTTGTTGAACAGGCAATGTCCCGTAATCGTTTTGATAAAATTAAATCCTATTTACATTTCAATGACAACTCACAAATAGATAATACTGACAAAGCTTTTAAAATTCGCCCACTTATCGATAAAGCTAATGAATCATTCCGAAAGTTTGGTATATTTGAATCCAATTTAGCTGTTGACGAAATGATCGTCAAATACTTCGGTCACCATGGAATCAAACAATTTATAAAAGGTAAACCAGTAAGGTTCGGATATAAGCTTTGGGCACTGTGTGGAGTCAGCGGATACTGTTATAACTTTTCGCTTTACACAGGAAAGGATGTTCAAACCTCTGCAAGTCATAACGATGGCTTGGGTGCAACAGTGGTAAAGAAGTTGCTTGCAGTTTGTACAGCTCCCAGAGCACATGTAGTCTACTTCGATAACTTTTTCAGTAGCATGCAATTGTTGATTGATTTGAAATCTCAAGGGTTCAGAGCTACAGGGACAGTCAGAGAAAATAGGACTAAAAAATGTCCTATCATGACCAAACAAGAGATGAAAAAGAAAGACCGAGGCTTTTCCGATTATCGTTTTGATAAAAATAATGAAATTTTGTGCGTGAAATGGCACGACAACAATGTTGTTTGTCTTTTGACAAATTTTGATTCTGTTGAACCTTATGTAAAAACGAATAGGTACTCAAAGAAAGAAAAGGCGAAAGTAGCCGTGAATCAGCCATTGCTTATTCATAATTATAATAAAAATATGGGAGGAGTGGATAAACATGATTGGCTGATTTCTAAATATCCAATCCGCTTTAGAGGTAAAAAATGGTATTGGCCTTTAGTCATCCGTGTTTTAGACATGTCCCTCGTGAATGCATGGATTATCTACAACCAGGTAAATAAAGATGAGACCATCCCTCTGCTAGATTTTAGACGAAGGGTTTGTTTTGCTTGGATGAAAAAATCGGATGGCAAGGCAAGTAAACCGACACCCGGTTCTTCAGAACTTCTTTTACAACCTGTCAGGTTTGACAATGTTGGTCACTATATGACAAAGAGGGACAAACAGAGGCGTTGTCAAGGACAAGGCTGTAAAAAAAAACCTCTAACCTTCTGCGCCAAATGTGAAAAAACACTTTGCAGTGATTGTTTCATACCTTATCATACAAAATAAGCTCATAACATTTTTTTAAGACTGATTGTGGATATAATTTTCAAATAAAGCTAATGTTCTTATAATTGTTAACTTGTATTATTTCTGATTACATGCTCCCATTGTCATATTTATAGGACAGGCTGAAACAGGGATGAAGATATATATATAATTTTTTTTTAGTCATTTTCTATTTTCTTAACGTATTGTGAACTTAATTTAAAGAATTGATCAAAAAATTCCAATGTTTTCGATGCTTGGGAAGTAATGGGTTAATATTGATGCGAATATATTAATATGCTTCTAATAAAGTATTATAACAACCAAGGTAGTGTTAAGTAACTGCTTCCCTCGTTGGTCGAGCGGTCGCAAGTGCGACTGTCGTGCAAGGGGTTTCGGGTTCGATTCCCAGGTCAGGCAAATATTACTGAGTTTAAAAAAATCTCAGTAGTAGCACAGAGTTTTGATTTGTGCCCGGTATATGGCAATAAGTTCACCCCATATTCCATGGGACTCATAACATAAAGTGAAAAGTGAGTGTTACATTCTGTAGTGGCAGTTAATGCCATAATGTGCACCTCTGCCTACCTCTTCGGGGATAAAAGGCATGATGTTATGTTATGTGCTATGTTAAGTAAATGAGTCCTGAGATATCTTAACTTACCAACAATATCGGGAGTCTCTTACTAACTATCCAGTCTCATTATCCCCAGTGTTGGGAACTGTACCCCCCACTTCTGAGGAAGTCTCAACTTCGACCACGCCACGGTTAGATTTTCCGAGCTCGTTACTTCGGTCAATGAAATATTGATATTACTATTGGACAAACAGACAATCGTGTATTATAACTTCTATTTGGTTTAATATAAAATTAAAAAACCACTACCTGTTGATTTATATTTAAATATAGCATTATAATTAATCATTAACTTACAATTAATATTAAATAGTAAATAATGATTATACGTAAATTGTGAAGGTTGTGAGTTTAAAGTTTGAACTTCGTAGTGTAATGCTAATGAACTTTAATCATTACAAATGTATTATATTATAATTATCCTTAGTCTAATCGATTAAAGTGGTCATTGGTGGCTCGAAGTGCAGTAGTAGGAACGGGGTGGCTTTTAGTCAGTGAGAGTGGGAGTGTCTGACTCTCGCCTCACCAGGGCGGGATAAGTCATTGGATGATTTCCCCCCTGAAAAAAAAAGTATTTTACAATGAACAGGCTGCCCACACGATAATTTAAACGATAAAATGGCTTTGTTTAATATAGTATACATGTTTTGATCATCGTACTACACCATAGATTACCCACATGGTATTTTAAGATCAAAGTGTGTATCGGCTTTCCAAAGGTTCTTATCAACGAAATTAATTACCAATTTCCTGTAACCTGAAGCTTGTGAATTCAGTTTTAGAGAATCGTTCTTGCTTCCCACGTTATTTAAAATGATTAGTTCCTACTTTGTGTAAGATTAACTACGGCCCACGGCTTCACCCACACTACTGGGATAAAAACTACTTAATCTAACTCTGCACCAGTTTTTATGCAGATCCATCCAAGACACTGATTTCGATTTCTTTTACTTTCAACTTTAAAGTTTATAGTTAAGTTCATAGTGGGATGGTGCAAATGAACAAACAGATAAAAATTAATCACCATCATTCACGAATGGACTGGCTTGATCGGAGTGATACCACGGCCTCACAGAAAACCGACGTGAAACAACAATTGCGTTGTATTTCGTCGTGTGAGTGAGGTTACCGGAGGCTCAATTACCTTACCCCTCCTCCCTAGTCTACCCAATTCCCAAATCCCGCACAATTCTCAAATCCCAAAAGGCCGCCTCTAGTGTTTCATATGTCCATGGGCGGCGCCGATTGCTTACCATCAGGTGATCCGTCTGTTCTTTTACCGGCTTATCCCATAAAAAAACCATGTATGTATTTGCTAACATCTATATGATGACGATAATCACAGAGAATATGGTTCATGTTGTGAAAATTTTCTAATTAGATATAGGACAATAAAAAATATATTTCAATAGCGTAATATTTTTTTTTTCAGCCATGGTCGTCCCACTACAGGGTAAACACATTTCTTTTGAATATTAAATATTTTGTGTAGGAGAAGAATAAGTGCTCCACTTGTAACTAAGTGCCCGCCTACGGACTGGAATTGTAGAAACCTTATAGTTGCTTTCCTAATGGTGATAAGTCCATAAAGATTTCTTTATTCCAAGACAGCACTTTCATCGAAATGCTAATAGTATTTCCATTTCACTTTAATGTTCAGACATCTCATCAGTTAGAATAAGTATAAAGAACTAAATCGGCAGAAATAAAAGATGAAATGACTAAAACTTTCATTAATCTAAAACTTTGAGACTTCACTCGTGTCCATAAGACAAACATGTATAGTTACTAGTGGTCATTTTCTGCAGAAGACCAAATTTAAAAATGTACCTACACACGGTTTACAGACAGCTTAAGTGGCGTTAGACGGGACATATGCTAAGGGAAGATAGGGACAAATGGATTAAGCTAGTGACAGAATGGTAGCCAAGGGATAGTAAAGGAAATAGAAGCAGACAAACGAAAGTTTGGAAAAATGATATGCCTATATGCACACTTAAAAAATAATTACAAATTAGGCATGTTAACTAATAATATTTCTGATTTGTAATATTTGATAAGAAACAGCAATAAAGGCTATTTTGTTTGTTTATTATGCGCGGACCTGTTTTACAAATATTTAGAAAAAAATTAAAAGTCTCTGTAACTCCTCTAGTGAATCGGGTGTCCATTTTGGCACCGATTGCTAACCATCAGGTGATCTGCCTGCTCGTTTGCCAGCTTATCTTATAGAAAACAGAATATCCTAGCTAAAACTAAGTCTAGACAAAAAAACTGTTGCGAATTCCTGCTTAGGTACAAATACCATTTACCTCAATAAAGATTGCAGCATTAATGGTATAAAACGAAATAACACTGCCATTACAATAAATAATGTACGAACGATTTCAACACGCGACGGCTCTTATGAAAATATCACAAGTTCAGAACAATCTTCAATATTTTGTTTAATCGTGATGTGATTGCTTTAATGTATCGCTCCCATTTCCTCCTGAAGGTGAAAGTTCAAGGCAACGTATTGAACCTTTCATGGTTTATTCTTTGAAGTAATTTGTATTGGGATTTTGTTATCATTATTTCGTTATTATACATTGGTGACAAATGCGATTGTTGAAATTAAGATAATTTTTACTTAGGTACACTTCATTTACCTACTTCTATTTAAAGTCAAAGTCAAAGCATTTATTTCAATTAAACCATAATTTGGTATTTTTGAAACGTCAACAAATACAAAATACATAATAGTCTGTCAGTCAGTCCGTCAGTGAAGCTAGGTGCTCATTCCAAAGTGTAGATTCGAATGGAGAAGAACGAGCAAGAAACTCCATTCGTTACTTTTTTTTACACTTCATATACGGCAAATCTTTCTTTGTCGACATGTCTTATTTATGAAGTACCTATCTATATATAAATAAAATTGAATTTCCATTTGTTAGTCTCCCCCTAAAGCTCGAGAACGGCGGAACTGATTTGGCTAATTTTGTTCTTGAAATGTTCGCGAAAGTCCAGGAAAGGTCAGCTAGTTTATAATAGGTATTATTACGACAAAACCTTTGATCAAACATCATTCAGAAACGCTTTAAGAATTTATTCAAACTTGACACTCACTCATCTTTAATAGCTACTCTTACAACAAGAATACTGAAATCCGAATTATAGAAAACAAAGCTTACTTTTATTGTTGTAATCAATTTTTTCCTGTGTCGTGGGTGCGTTTACGAACATACAAGTTCACATACACATGACACCCAGACCTGGAACAACAATCTGTGGATTACACAAAGAATTGTTCCGTGCGCGAATCAAACCCGCGACACGTTGCGCGGCAGCCATTTGACCAACTACTGCACCAACCGTGCTGTCAAAAATTTGCAAAGCAAAGCAAAAGCAATTGTAATGGCAAAGCTTTGGCTCACATAACTCAACATGTTATATCCCATAAATATGCTTAATCATATATCCAAGGAGTCATAGAATCTTGAATCAAAGTTCAAGGTCAATCAAGTGGAACAACAAGTGAAACAAGTGAATTTATTTCTGCAAATAGGCTACAAGGCAGCACTTTTACACGTCAATTTTATCAAGCGAACGATGAGGTCGACATTTCCTAACTGACTACTCTGAGAAGAAATGCCGAAACAAACTCAGAGGTCTGTCTCTTTTAAAGTCCAGACAATATGTATAACAGATTATGTGTGAGAACCGTGCCAGTTCTTTCTGTAGTGGGCTTTTGAGGAAAGAACCACAACAGTTTGAGCGGACCCGTTCTGAAGGCAGTACGCATGTGTCGGTTTACAGTCAGCTCAATTAACAGGTGAGGCTGACTGATTCGACGAACAATACCAACCTAAAGAACATTTGCGTGGGTCGCACAAATACTCAAACAGTCAATCAGTTGCAGACCTGGGGTTTACCAGGACTCCATCTCGAAGCAGGAGTAGGTACAGGGTGATTTTAGTCTGTAAGAGTCTGACACTCCCTCATGCATCATCCAAGACATTAGATGATTCCCCCCCTCAACAAAAGATTCAAGGTCTATCGATTTATTTGATAGTCGCTTTAATGTGTGTTGGTATCCCTAAGATCTTTTGGTCCTCTTGGATCAAACTTTCCCAACAGTTCATGATTTGTGATCGAACTTATAGCAAAGAGTTTTGTGGAGTTCAAATCTGATTGTGGTGTAGATAAATGCTTTATATCTATGAGTTATTATGATAAGGAAATTGTATTATGTGGTCTAAGATCCCGCCTTGAACGACCTTCACCGAGATGCTTATTTGATGAAACATATGTTACATTCAATTTAATATGTCAATATATTCCATATGGGTTGCCTAATAAATTTCAGTCCAGAACATGACTAATTAATAATTTAAAAAATATATTTTATCAAATGTTTCACCGGTTTGACTATTAAACAAATTCCATTTCAATCGAAAGTACGAAGCCCATAGAATATGGAAATGTTAGGTTGCCTATTGTATTCCAGTCATAACTCTCGGGTTGCCAGGTCTAAACAGGTAAATTGATAGTAGGATTTTGCAACGGTCTGATAATTTAATCAAATAAAATAAATATCTCGGTGGTTAATAAAATAAATAAGCATCTCGGTGAAGGTCGTTCAAGGCGGGATCTCCTACTAATAGAGGAATTATCAATGGTATTACGTATTGGAGTTTCTTTCGGTTTTTCAAAAAATCTCATTAAAATCCCCGCCTGTAAGTTCATTCATTCGTCCGTAAATATGATGCATTTCTTGTTCATGGTTGGTCTTACAAGTGGGGTTTCGACTTTGAAAACTCTCAGTAGTTATATTCACGTATCTGCATTGGTGGCGAGCAATAAACTCACCTCTTATTACATGACTCGACATAGCGTTATAGCATAGTAGGTGAAAGGTGAGTGTTGGACATAATAACATTCCACATATCTGCTTTTGTTTTTTTACTATTATTTTTGTATCTCCTTTAACATGTGAATTGTCGGAAAGTCCATATACGCGAGACACAATGTGTATTCTATCGTGCTTCATATATCGACAGACAAGAGGTTAAAGTCGTTTTGGTAAAGAAACTGTTTCTAGCAAAAAACCTCATGAAATGAAAAGCCAATTATTTATAAAATGCTTTTTCATCA